AAAGATAGAGGCAGTGAAGTGCTGAAGCAGAGGTTGCCAACAGCCCAATCTGCCCCAACCTAAGCTAAAGAAAAAGCAGAACAGCTTTGGTGGCAGCCCCACGGAGTCTCAGAGAGAGCTGTTCTTCCCACACCTCAGCAGTGGGAGCAGAGAGCTGGACCCCAAACCCTGCAGTGCTGACTGTACCAGGTACGGCTCCTGCCAGCCCTGTCCTGGCTTCCCTCTTCTCACTCTCCACAGCCATGGCTTGGCAAACATCTCCTGGTTGCCTCTAAAGGAAAAACTTTTCAGACAGCAGCGAACTCCCCGTCCGAGCACACTCCTGCAGAAAAGAGGGACTGTTTGCTGGCTGCCCGTGGCTCTGGGATCTTGGCAGGCTGTGAGAGGAGCCCGCTGTGCCGCAGCGTGCCCGTGCCCTGGCCCTGGCGAGTGGAGACAGATCCATCACTGCTGTGCCAGGAGGGGACAGGGCCAGGGCAGAGCCGTGCCAAGGGCAGGGGCACGGCGGACCCCGCTCCCACCACGCAGGCAGCATTCTTGTGGCAGGCTGCTGCCCCAGAGGAGATTCCAGCCTCTGATGGGAAGTCCTTGAAACAAAGCCCTCATTTTCCAAAGGTTGCCAGGCCACCGTGGCGCAGACGGGGCCACCCTGACAGGTTGATCTGCGCTTCCTCCCGCAGGGCTCTGCGGGACGGGCCCTGCCTCGGGCAGCCACGTGCTGCAGAGCTCCCGGACCGTGCTGCAGAGCTCCTGGACCCCGCACGTGGGCCTGTCTGCAACGAGAAGCTCCCAGGAGCAGAGGAGCCGCCAGCTTGCCCCACTCCCCTTCCAAGGAGGACATTCGAGCGTGGCTCAGACACCTACAGAGCGCCCGAAGGGAGCGGCTCATCCGCCAGGCAGCACGCTCAGGGGCTCGGGTGGGATTACGGGGGGAGAAATAGTAACAAAAAAAGTCTGTTCCTCTGCAAAACAGGGATTTCAGAAGCACTTGCTGAAGACACTGGAGGATGTTTCTCCCTCCTGGCTCTCAGGAGCCCGCTCTCCAGGCGTGTGGAGCTGGGCTGGGATGGAAAAGGAGCCCCCGCGCCAGGGAACGGCGGTTTCCAGGCACAGCTCTGGCCTTGGGGTGGAGGGTGGCTTTAATTACGTGTGTGTGTGTGTCCTTTTTAAGGGTCATCCAGCACGATGCAGTGAGAGAGCAGGAGCAGCCCCTGGAACACGGTGGAGCATTTTCTCTGCAGTGCTTCTGATGCTGGGGTGGGTGGAAGGAGGGTCTCGCTGTGGCTCTGCAGAACATTCCAGCTGAGACCTTGGGTGTTCACTGAGCAGCCCCTCACTGGGGGCCCATCTCTAGCCAAGGGGGGCTCATCTGCCCCCTCCTTCCCCCTGGCATTGCCCAGAGCAGTGATTGCTGTCAGAGCAGCTCCATCTGCCTGCCAAGGGAAGCAGTTTGTCATTTCTGTTATTGCTGCTTCTGTTATTTCTCAGTCACTTGTGCTGCAGCCACTGCAGCCCTGGGTTACCTGTTTGTGGAACAGCTGATGAAAGCAGGACCCTGCCTGTTTGGCTGATGAGCCCAGAGCAGCTGCTGCCTGTGAGCCCCTGACAAGCCAGTTCCAGGCTGGCACAGCCGGGTGTGCCACCCCTTCGTCATGCACAGCATGCACAGAGCAGGACACCAGGCTGGCACCCTGCCTGCCCCAGGAGAACCAGTCCTCCCCAACTGCTCAACAGCTCTCCCCCAGCAGAGGTCAAAGCAGAACACAGACTGCCAGTAATGGGAAAAATTAATTGAGGGATGGAAGATGACTTTTTGTATAGCATGAAAGAAAACTGTATTTGTTTATAACTGAACTACAACTGGAGGCCAGAAACTCAATTAACGGGCGGTACTCGACAGAAGGAATGCTGGAGCAAAGAAGATAAACATTATTGGGAGGATAAACTGAGTCACAAAAGGATGATATTTTATTTTAGGATTTAAGATTCTTACTCCAGATAAGCCCAGGCAGACAGCAAGCCTGAGCAGCCCAGAGGTGGCACGTCCCTGTCCCTTGGACACCCCACAGCCCTCAGCAGGGCAGAACTGAAGTTGTCTCCCAGCATGACACATGTCTTAAACTGAGCATTTACACAAATGCTTGTAACTTAAACTGGAACTCATTATAACAACCAGCATCTGACATTTTAAAATGTAAAATGTACCCATAAACTGCACAAACACACATCTCTCTGCTCCAGGGAATGCTACACCAGCAGACAGGCAGTGTCTGATTTAAGGAGCCTCTCATGCTTTCTCATTTCAGCCAAAGCCTGTTTGCTCCATATGATCCAGCATGACCACAACTCCAGGACCTCGGGTGCTTTCTCCTTAGTCTGCACTTAGACCATTTCAGGTTTCAGTAGACTTTTCTTATCAGAGAGCAACACAGGAAACCTAAAGACAGCAAATGCCCCCACATGCAGCACTTGACTGTGAGTCTCACTTTTTACAGACATAAAGATACTTCAGAGCTGTCAGTTATAAGAAGTCAGTGAAGGAACTGAGTTGGTAAATATTCAGCAAACACACTGCCTGGCTTCCTGCACCTCTTCAATCTACCTGGTGCTCACGCTTTGTCCAGCAATCACAGACCACCCAGCAGTGAAGTGCACAAAGCAGAGCCCAAACCACCCCAGGCACCAGCTCTGAGCTGGGAAAAGGAGACCCCAGGCAGCAGCCCCACAGCATTGGCCTTACCTCTCTCGTGGTGTCAGCACTGCTGATGTCTCCAGCCAAATGTGCTGCAGAAAGAACTTGTTGCTTCCCCCGAGCTCTCAAACCTCCCCCTGCACCAGAGACTCAACTGGGGCTGCAGCACATTCATCTTCAGGTGGGTAAAAAATCACCTTAATGCAAACAAGCTGTGAGCTGCAGCCAGGACTGGCCAAAGCAGCAGGAGGTTCCCAGGAAGGGCCCTGCTCTCCCTGCAACGAGCTACAGCTGCTGCAGGCAGGCAGCAAGGAATCATGGCATCACTGGGGCAGCAAGGACCTCCAAGGTCATTGAGTCCAACCTTGGACTGAACTCCACCACACCAACCAAAGTGGCACCAAGTGCCACATCCAGCCATTTCCTGAACACCTCCAGGGATGGTGACTCCCCCACTGCTCTGGGCAGCCCAGTCCAACCCCCTGGGACTGCTGACAGCCCCCAGGCCAGCTCCTCTGCTGCCCTGTGTGCTCAGGAAGGGGAGCCAGGGGAGATGGAAGGTCCCTGCCCCGGTCCCTGCGAGGCTTTTGTGGTGCTGCCACTGTGGGCACTCACAGACAACCAGCCTTTCACTCCATTTCCCACCCAGCTGGGTTTGCCAGCCCTCTCCATCACTCACCTCATCAATCTGTGATGTTAAAGCCTGTGGTTTGTTTATTTATTTCTTCACTGATAAAAGCACATTATCTACAATGATTAATTTTGCAATAAAGAAACAACACTACTACAAATGGTGGTCTAAGACAACCTAGTGAGACTCTCTACAAAGTTCATGTCCTAAATCCATCTCTCTGTTAGCTGTGAAACATCATTCCTCAGGGTGCTTGGCTTCTTCGTGGAATTCTTCTACAACCAAGTCCACAGCTCTGTTCCCACATGGGGAATAAACAGCACTCCTGAGCTAAGGAATAATTAATTTACCAGCTTTGAGTGGGCTTGGTTCAAACCTCAAAAATGAGGATTTGTTATTTCATTTAACCATGATACAGCAGGATTATCTCAGCTCTCAGATATTCATTCTCCTAGAGTATTGCTGATGGATGAGAATACTGAATGGAAGCAGGAAGGACAATGAATGTGGAATGATATGGGTCCATGGAAAAGAGAACTTGTCCAATTAACAGAATAATGCATTTCAGTCTGGTCGATAAATGCAATCATTCGGATGAGATACTCTTTGTCTTTCATAAACTATTTGAAATCATACAAACACAACATTTTGATTAGGGGAAAAAAAAATGCAGAATGATACAAAGGCAAGTTGTCCCAGATCAAACAGACAAAGCCCAGACTGATGGGTCCCACAGGGACAGCAAGGAGGGAAAGGCGGAGCCGACGTTCCCTGCGGCTCCGTGGGGACGAGTCCTCAGCCTGCTGCACTGTGGGACTGAGCCAGCAGCCTGGAGGAACCACCAGAACATCCCTGGGAAGTGAGGGGGCTGCAGGAGCTGGCCCTGAGCTCCCCCCAGCCGGAGCCCCGGGCAGGCCAACCCTTGATGGGCTCAGATGGAGTGGCACCTCTGGGCACCAGCAGCTCTGGGCACCAGCAGAACTGGGCACCAGCAGCTCTGGTCACCCCTGCAGGGCAGTGCCCCCCAGGCCAAGGCAGGGCAGCTCAGCAGGACCTGCTGTGCCAGGGGCCCACGTGAGGCTGAAGGCACGGGTGGGGCACAGAGCCCCCTCTGCCCCCAGGGCCAGGGCACAACTGCAGGGCACGGCCCAGGGGCTCCAGGGCTGCCAGGGAGCAGCACAGCCCTGGGCACGAGGGGCTCACAGTGTGGCAGAGGCAGGGCAGGCACCTGGTGAGACATTGGAGAGATGCTGGTGAGGGAGGGCTCCAGCCCAGCAAGGCACCACAAGGACCTGGGGTTAAGGCTTAGACAAAGTACATTTAGACTACAACGGGATTTTTTTACAGTGAGGGCAATTAGGAGGTTTTCTCAGAGGTTGTAAGGGGACTGTGAGGATGGGATGTCTGTCTGATCAGCTGGCTCTGGTTCGTACAGGAATTCAGGGCGATCCTGCAGCCATGAAGACAGGAGTGACGTGGTCACAAGGGTCCTTTCTGCAGGTGTGTAACCTCTGGACATCACCTCACACCCCTCTGCTTGCCCTCTTTACCTGACAGCTGCTATTTGAGTGGCTGTACATGTCTGTGGAGTGACAGGTCTCTAGGTGCCGTGGACAGGCACCGTGTGTGACCCCAGCGACCGTCCGGGGCACACACGTGGCACGCCCAGGCCAGCGGGATGTGGGAGGGCTGGGGTCACTGAGGGAGCTCTGAGGAGCAGGATGGAGCAGCAGGAGGGCTTGGCCCCAGCACCCCTGCTGCAGAGGGGCGAGCCCAGCCCGGGCAGCAGCTCTCCCACATCACTTGAACACGGACGGAAACGTGGGGCAGTCGGGAGACTTCATCTTCTTCATGAACTTCTTGAACTCCTTGTTCTTCTTGTCCCACTTGTAGATGGCTGTCAGCAGGTACTGGGTCTTCACCTGACGGCCCATGATGAGGAAGTAGTGGCCGAGGTTGTCGAGCTGATGGCAGGGACAGTCTGCCCCGTTTTTCAGGAACAGCACCAGCTTCTTCAGGTTCTTCTTCCGGATGGGCCCCAGCTTCAGTGCCTTCCTCTTCCGTGGGATGATCATCTTGTCCCCGTTCTCCTTCTTCACTTCCTTTATGGTCATCTTAAGAGCTGCAAAACAAGCCAGAGAGAGGGGAAAAACAACACAACTCCTGAGCAGCCTTCACTGGCACAAAGCCTTTGCTAAGTGAGGCTGGGGGTGAGGGGGCACTGGGGGTGAGGGGGCACTGGCACCGTGACCCCAGGACAGCAGCAGTGCCCTGCCCCACTGCAGACATCCAGTGCCCCACTCCTGCACCCCCTTGTGCCCCCTCAGCTCTGTCCCCCTGCTCAGTGACGTGGCCCGTGGTGTCACACACACCCCTGTGCCTGAGGTGGAGCCATCCCCAAGCCCGGGAGAGCATCAAGGTCAAACACTGACGTCTCTGTTCCCCTTCCCCCAGCAAAGCATCCAGTGCTTTCTGCTTGAGAGGGGACTTGTTCAGCTGCCGGGGAGCTCTTTGAAAGAAAAACGTTAGCTAAGTAAACAGGGTGATTTCCCTGCTCTGGAGGCATGGAGAGATTCTTGAAAGGATCATTTAAAAGGTCAATTTGGCTTCTCAAGCATTTGTTTGCAGTCACACCGGCCCTCAGGTGCCTGTGAAACAAGTTTCCAAGCACTGGGAGTCTCTGCATGGAGCTGAGGAGACCCAGTCACACAGCCTTAAGGGCCCAGAATAGACATGTGCCTGCACCCTCCCCAGGAGAAGGGGAGTTGGTCTGATACAACTTCCATGGAAAATACTCTCCTCTCTGGGTTCAACATTTTCCCGAGTTAATCCCAAACCCAAAAAAAAAAAAATAAAATTAATGTTCTTTTGCCTGACCATGAAGAAGAATTTTGCATACATGGTAAAAATGATGGAAATGTGTTGTACATTAAAGTATCACGTCTGAGCCATTTGGCTTTGCCTCCTTTTTGGGGAAAAGCACATATGGCCAAAAATTACTAACACATTTCCAAGGTTTGGGAGTTTACTTCAGAGCTGCAGATAACTAGTGCTCAGAGAGGTGATTAATTGGCTGCTGTCCCTCCTCATTTGAGTCCGAGGGCGGGTGCAGGCAGCCCACAGGAGCCTCTGGCTCCGCAGCATCGTTCCTTGAAGTCCTGCTCTGCTGGAACGTGCAGCAGCAAACACGTGTTGCTTCCTGGAAGGCAGCGCTGCTCCCCCCTCCAGCAAGGGATGGCAGCAGGACAGCGCTGACAACCCCGAGCAGGCAGCACAGACATCACCCTCTGCTCCCATCCTCTGCCCTGGCAACAGGGGCAGTGGTGTTTGCCTGCCCCTGTGCCAAAAACACCCGCTGGGTTTGCCAAGAGCCCTGTCGTGTTACACTGTGACTGTACAGGAAAGTAATCCAGGACTGGAAACCCGAGCAAAATTTTCATTCCATCCGTTTTCCAAATTCAGGAGGCTTAAGGAGCTAAAGAGGTTCCAGCTTTAAGGAGCTGGAGATGCTGAACCAGATCAGTTTGCAACCAATCTGGAAAATGAAGCGAGTAGTTTTTGGGCAGCTCTAAACTCCATGACATAACTGGGCAGCAGCAGCAACACCCTCAGTGTGAGCCTCAGTTTCTTTATCTGTGCTGACCTGGAGCCCTTGCACTTAGCACAGGAGTGGCCAGTGCAGGAGGGATGTAAAACACCATTACAGGGGCACAATAAGAGACTTTTGTGAAATGGCTTGTTTGCAGATTGCTCTGCTGGGATCACTGCAAGGTTCAATCCTTGTTGCTGGAGGAAGAAAAGGACCTGGCAGCTGGTGCAGGAGCTGTCCTGCTCCAAGCATGGAAGACAAAGGAGGCCTGGTAATCCTGTGCCGTGGGAGCTCACAGCTGCTCCCTTCCCTGCACACTGCAGCTCGTGAGCCAGCCATGCAGGTTCATGGGAGCTGCCCAGGGGAACCACAAATCCAGATGTGAACCAAAACCTCATCCAAAGCTTGCTCGTGCAGAGCAGCACACGGAGCCAAGATGGGAGAATGCCAAGGGGGGTGAAGGAGGAGGCAGACCAGGGGTGCAAACAGTTTGTGTTGGACTCCACTCTTCCCAGCAGTGATGTCCTTGTCACCAGCAACAGCCTGCAGTGCTGCCCAGGTGAACACAGCCCGGCTCAGGAGCACCAGGCTCCAGCTGCCTGCAGTGCTGCAGGCTGAGCAATCACAGAGCACGATGATCCCTGCTCAGCCCTCACCCCCCTTCAGTGACCTGGCCCCCTGGCCCCCACTGCTCCCCAAATTGGGCCACATTCCCACAGCTCCAACCCATGTTCCAGGTGAGGCCCCCGGGTACCAAAGCCGTGTCCCACACACACCAGACCAGCAGCACCCGGAGGGGCACCATTTGTTCCCAGTGCACATCCCACTCCCAGGAGCTCCCCCCATCCCCACAGAGGGAGGGCGGCCCCTGGCTCGTGGCTTTCCCAAAAACCCGGGGTTTGGCAGCGGGGACCCCGGTGCAGTCGGCTGCTTGGGGCAGCTCGTCTGGCACCTCCCCAGCCCTGGGAACGCCCCTGCAGAGGCTCGAGTGGATGGATGGAGCCTTGGCTCCGGGCCCAGCTGAGCTGCCAAAGCAAACACTCCTCACTGGGAGCCTTGGCCTTTCTGCTCCCCCCGGGCTGCACCAAATCCGCCTCAGCGCCGAGCAGAAGGGCCAGAATCGCCTCTGAGACCCCGGGATGTGTTTGCTTGGACACACTGAATCTTCAGCCGTGGCTGCCAGGCAGGAGCTGACCCACGAAGAGACCCAGAGGGCTGCCCAGGCACAAGCACGTGCCACCTTTCCAGTCCAGCAGCTGCACAGGCTGCCTTGGCATCAGCCACAGCACCGGCACCCACCCCACATGGCACAGGAGCCTGTCACCAGGACCCTGCCTCTGCTGTTCTCCTGCCTGCACGGGCCCCACTCCAGCACCTCATGGGCAGGAAAGGAAATGTGAGAGAAGGGAAAGCTCCACTGTTCCTTCAGCCTCATTTCTCCTTCCTTTAGAAATCACTGAGAAGGAGGAAACCTGCCAGAAGACACATTAGGGCTGTAACAGGAGAAGACTGCAGGCAAGGAGCTGTCAGTCACCGGGAGAAAATAAACAGCATGTATTGATTGTTCTGCAGTCCCCAGTGCCACAGAGCCCGTTCAGCAGGATCCCCTCAGACCCCAGAGAAAGGGCAGAAACAATAAATAAAATCACTAAGAGAAACAGAGCATGGAATGAACTCCAGGAGTAAGAAACAAGCGCTGGCTGCAGCCCAGGGCGGCCGAGGGAGGCGGCAGTGGGGGCACGGGAGGCCAATCTCACACTTCCTCTCGCATCCCCCCTGCCCCAGCACACCAGCACTGCACCAAAACCTACACTGCAGTGACACCCATGGACCTGCCCCAGCCCCCTGCACGGCTCTGTGCCCAGGCCAGGGGCCTGGCACCCCTCGCTGACACCCCACCGGGACCTGTCCTGCTCCTGGAGGAGCTGCCACCTCAAACCAGCACCCAGAGCCCACGGTCACCACTGCTCAAACGAAGGCAAACCCAGAGTTCTGCTGGACCACGAGGCTGGCAGTCCCCTGGCACCCCTCTGAGCCCCAGCACCCTCTTCTGCCTTTTCTTCACAGTCTCCCTGTGTTCACAGCTGGCTGCAGCCCTCTTCCTGCGCTGTCCTCAAGATCACTCCCAGGGCTGCCACACAGCCACCTCCTACCCTGGCACAGCCACATATCTGTGGTGGGCAAAGTGCTCCTCACCTCTTGTCTGTAACGAGCTCCTGGAACACAAGAGAAAACTACAGTAACAATTACAGTGGGAATCGGTGCAGAACCCACCAACAGCTGCCCCGTGCAGCACATGTTAGTTTAAACATTTATTGTACATGTCTGGCTTTGATGAGGATCTGTAACCTGTCAGCTGCCAGTGTTTACCTTGGTGGATGTGCATGAGGAACCTCAGTCTGAAGGGTCGGGAGTTTATTTTAGAGCCAGATAAACAGCTCTCCTTGAGAAATCACCCCACGACAGTAAAGCCCCAAGACTAAACAAAGATCCAAGGGCCACGCACTGTGCTTTGGGAAAACTTCCTAAAGCCCACGTCTCCTCTGCTCACCCCAGCTGAGACATCCCCCAGAGCCCTCGTGCTGCCTGCCCTCAGAGGGCACAGGTAGGACCTGCATTGCATCCCAGCCCTTGCTCCTGCTCCCAGCTGGCTACAGACTGGCCACATCTGCCAAGAAATATTTCCACCCTCTGGACACTGTCACCACAGTATTTCCCAATAACAACTCACGCTGTGGGCAGGTCACTGTCCCAAGGAGCTCTGCCGAGGCCACGAACTCCTCTGGTTTGGCCTCTGCTCCCCGTTGTGTAACTGTCCCAGAGCACGGGAGGATATTTAGTGGCAGGAGCTGACAACAGGCATGTGGTTAATCTTGTTATTTGCCTTCCTGGCACTTGCCCACCAGCAGGATGCCACCTCAGCTCACTCTTCACACACCTCTGGCAAGGTGATGGGGATTGCAGTGACCCACCAGCAACGGAGCCACCAGCCAGTGCCCCTGGCTCCTCCTCTGGGATGCAGGTCCCCAAGCCAGAGCCTCTGCAAGCCCAGGCAAGCAGCCCCTGCCCTAAACCAGCTGGGCTGGTCCCAGAGGCCACTTGCTCCCTGCCCCAGTCTCTCCCCACGCTGTCAGTGGGGCAGGGGCAGCTGTGGTTCAGCTCCCACCCCATGCCAGAGCTCTGAGCACCCCAGCTCACCCCGCTCTGAGTGCCCAGCATCTCCTGCTGCCCAGCCAGGCTGTGCACTGAGTGCCTGCTCCCATTCCCCCACCAACCAGAAGTATGCACATTCCTGGGAAACTATTCCATGGGTGTTCCTGTTGATGCTTTTCCCTCTTAGAAAAAGCCTGAGCTGAACTTAGGACTTCTGGCATACCAAATCTGCAGGAGAGTCGAGAATTCATTTCCAGCAGAAAGGGTAACACGCCAGCATGCAGAGCAGGTTTGGGTTTGCATAGCACACTCTGGCACAGGGCACATTCGAGTGTTAATCCCCCAGGAATGCACACCTTGTTCAATATGCCTTTAATAACCTTCCGGGAAAGTTACATACACCAGCAAGGATGTCACAACCAGTTAATTCTGGGTTTGATCTGAGAAAGCTAATATTTTTCCCTGTGATAATCTTTTTTTTAAAATGAAGTTCAGTTTACCTCCGATTGTCTGACTCACTCACTCACTCATAATATATTTAGGACACAGCTTTCAAGTAGCTCTGCATTTTTAAGCTCACAGCTTGGCCCTAGCTAGACAAGGATTGGCTTTGGGGTTTTATGCCTAGATTCGACAAG